ATGCTTGTTTTTTGCCCCCTTAAATTCCTAAAATTTTGAGGCAATTACCCCCAAAATCAATCCCAGCATTCCCTTTGTGATATGGAACCTTGTGGTACAATGTCAGAGAGATCCATGCACTAACACACAAGCTATGTCTGGAAGTTACAAAAATGCTTATTTTTGGCCCCTAATTCCTTTACTGTTGGTACCATAACCCCCAAAATCAATCCCAACCTTCCTTTTGTGGTATTGAACCTAATGGTAAAATTTCATAGAGATCCATTCACTTAAACTAAAGTTAGAGTGCGAAAACCAATATGTCTTCGAACGACGACGACTACGCCAACGTTATACCAATATAAGACTGTAAAATTTTTTTGCGGTCGTATAAAAAGTAAACAATTATAGGTCAAAGTACAGCCTTCAACACGGAGCCTTGGCTCACACCGAACAGCAAGCTATAAAGGGCCCCAAAAAGACTAGTGTAAAACAATTCAAACAGGAAAACCAACGGTCTAATCTATATAAAAAACGAGAAACGAGAAACACTTATGAACTACACCAACAAACGACAACCACTGAACAACAGGGCTGAGGCTCCTTACTAAGGACAGGTGCATAAAAATGCAGCGGGTTTAAACAGGTGCCAACCTTTACCCTAACCGGAAACAGTGGTATAACATGTACATTACAACGTAAAAAAACACACAATAAAATAATAATTGAAATGGCTTAACTCGATCAAAAAGACAATACACAAAAACAAGTAAATTTACTCTGAACGAATAAGTTTGATCTATGACACAATATATATAAATAAAAAAGATGTATCAATGTCAAAAAGACAACTTTATCCTAAGACAAAATGGCGTTAAATAAAGTAACGTACACAGGTAAATTTAAATATAATAATCAAAACTTTATTTTCTTGAACAAAAAACGTGCCATAATTTCCCTACTCCTTTATTAGTAACCCAGAATGTGTAAATTGAAATATAGCTCAATCACTTTCTTGTTTTTAATACCCTAAGGGCCTTGTTATTGTGTGTGGAAGACATGTTTAGGTTTATATTTCCCATTTCTTGTTCTTAATACCTATGTTATTGAGTGTGAAATACATTTGATTGATTGGTGATTAACACCACTTTTTAGCACTGTTAGCTATTTTTGTGGCTGCCCATATTTATTGGTGGAGGAAGCCTTGTAAATTAAGAGTGGAGTCTAATGTACATGCAACATACTGGACTCAACCTCACAACCTCAGTGTTAACAAGCTAGTGATACAGGGACTACTTAAGACCACTCAGCCACCGAGGCCCCAGGAATATGTTTGAATGTGCAAGTTTTTAAAACCCTGTTATTGAGTGGAATACATGTTTTAATACCCTGTTATTGTGAAAGGAATACATTTTTTTAATATCCCTGTTATTTTTAGTGGAATGCATGTTTTATTAGCCTTATTATTGTGTGTTGAATAGTCTCATGTTTCATGGTATATATATTCATTATAAGAATTTGTTATTCAGATCTGCCATTTTCAATGATTTGCAAACCTTATGCATGATGTAATCATGACCATAAAATAAGTAGTTAAGACAGAATTTGAAGAAGTTTAATTATAGAAAGTGATTTGGATATTGGCTATTATAACAAAAAGAAAATTCTATTGACAAAATGAAAATTTTAGAGAATGTCAAAGAATGGCCTAATGAAAACAACACAGGCCAGATAAATTCGATTAAGTGAATCAAGTGACCTTGACATGATTGACTCCTATAAATGTATAATAAAATGCTTCGCTGGGCGCAGCTTGATACGACCGCAGAGGTCGAACCCTGAACAGTTGGGGCAAGTATGGACACAACATTCAAGCTTGATACAGCTCTGAATTTGGATTGTGATTAAATACTTGACACAGCATAGGTTTCTGACACAGAAAGAATGTGGTCTAATAAGAACTTGAATTTTTTTAATTTACCTATTATGGTCCAATGTCCAAAATCAAAATACATGGTTAGATTCAGCATATCAAAGAACCCCATATATTCAATTTTTGTTGAAATCAAACAAAAGTTTAATTTTGGACCCCAACTTGGACAAACTTGAAAACTGGTCCCATAATCAAAAATCTAAACACATGTTTAGATTCAGCATATCAAAGTACCCGAAGAATTCAATTTTTGTTAAAATCAAACTAAGTTTAATTTTGGACCCTTTGGACCTTAATGTAGACAAATTTAAAAAACGGGACCCAAAATTAAAAATCTAAAAACACGGTTAGATTTGGCATATCAAAGAACCCCAATAATTCAATTTTTGATGAAATCAAACAAAGTTTAATTTTGGACCCTTTTGACCTCAATATGAACCAATTTGATAGCGGGATCCACAAATAAAAAGTCTAAATACATGGTTAGATTCAGCATATCAAAGAACCCCATATATTCAATTTTTGTTGAAATCAAACAAAGTTTAATTTTGGACCCCAATTTGGACCAACTTGAAAACTGGGCCAAAAATCAAAAATCTAAATACATGTTTAGATTCAGCATATCAAAGAACCCTTTATATTCAATTTTTGTTAAAATCAAGCAAAGTTTAATTTTGGACCCTTTGGACCTTAATGTAGACAAATTTGAAAACTGGACCCAAAATTAAAAATCTAAATACACGGTTAGATTCGGCATAACAAATAAATAAATGTGGTCAAAGATTTTACAAATCTAATGCGCCATACTATGCAATTAAAGATTACTTCTTGAAATTTTTCAATATTTGAAATTTGATAAAAAAACAATATTTGAAGAATAATTCTTTTTAATTTCTGATATCTGAAATGAGAAAAAATTGACCCCCCACAATTTCTTTTTACCCCCACCCCCCTTTTTCCCCCAAAAAAATTCTTTCCCTCAAGATATGGTCATAATCTCAATCAAATTTCCAATGGAGTTTGCAACCATAATTACCCATTTAAATTTACCATAGTGCTAACTTAATCTATTTTATAATAGAATTTAAAATATAGTGTCAAATCTTTCATATGGATTTTTTTGTAAAAAAAAAGATGCAACATTTGCAGATATTTTCACTGGTCTTCCTTTATAAATATGCATTTCTTTAAACATAATTTAAAAGCAGTGTAAGGGAAGTAACCAAAACATTGTATTTGGATTACCTCCCTTACACTGTTTTAAATTATCTTAATTGTTTATTAACCATTACTTTATACATAATTTAAAAGCAGTGTAAGGGAGATAATTTCAATGATGTATTTGATTTATCTCCCTTACACTGCTTTAAATTATGTTTTGTACTAAAGTATTTGTCCATTAACCAGGACAACCTTGTTTTTCCCCCTTTTTTGCCTCTAATTCCTAAACGGTTTGAGCCATAACCCCCCAAAGCAAATCCTAACCATCCCTTTGTGGTATGGAAACTTGTAGTATAATTTCAGAGAGATCCATACACCGTTCCACAGTTATTGTCTGGAAACTAGAAAATGCTTATTTTTGGCCCCTCTTTAGCCCCTAATTCCTTAACTGTTGGTACCATAACCCCCAAAATCAATCCCCACCTTCCTTTTGTGGTATTGAACCTTATGGTAAAATTTCAAAGAGATCCATTCACTAAACTAAAGTTAGAGTGCGAAAACCAATGTGTCTTCCGACGACGACGACAATGACGCCGGAGACGCCAACGTCATACCAATATACGACCGCAAAAAATTTTTGCGGTCATATAAAAATTAAACAACTTGATTTTTTGTCGAGCCTTTGACTTTTGTTGAAAAAGCGAGACATAGCGATCCTACATTCCGTCGGCGGCGGCGTCGACCACAAATATTCACTCTGTGGTTAAAGTTTTTGAATTTTAATAACTTTCTTAAACTATCCTGGATTTCTACCAAACTTGGACAGAAGCTTGTTTATGATCATAAGATAATATCAAAAAGTAAATTTTGTAAAAAAAAAAATCTATTTCTTTCCGTATTTTACTTATAAATGGACTTAATTTTTCCTGCCGGGAAACATTACATTCACTCTGTGGTTAAAGTTTTTGAAATTTTAATAACTTTCTTAAACTATTCTGGCTATCAAAAGATAGTATAGAGAGGAATATTTTTATTAATTTTTTTCCTCATTTTTGATGAGCCTGCGATTAACAGCAAAAGTAGGCGAGACACTGGGTTCCGCGGAACCCTTACGAATTTTTTTTAAAATTAAGAACGATTTGTGGAAAGCAACACTTTAAAATCAAATTTTAATAAATTCCTCAGGAATAGATTTTGAGAAACAAAATAAAAACAAGAGGTTTCAAGTAAATCATTAATTTTGAATGGGAATGCATTCATCTACAAGGATTTTAAGGTTGATCTAATTATGCTAATGGCAGGAAATCACTGTTTTGTTAATTTTATTACCTGTAAAAGTTTTTTCTTTTGATGGATATTAGTTTCATTAGTTGAAATAACTTCACATACTATAGTGTCTTATCATGCACACGTGTATTACATATAATTAAATAAATAGTTGATAACGGCTTTACTATGACATGTATTATGTACATGTAATGTATCCTAAACTTCCTAATTTTGTTCATAGTTTTGTCCCAACTTGAAAATGAATATAAATTTAAGTCTTAGTTCAAAATTCAAATTTCTGTGAAGAATAAGGACAAATAAGGTTCTTATTGGTTCTTATTTAACAGTTTTGCCTATATAATAAAGGATCTACTATACTGCCTGCATGAGTGAAATGATGAATTCACCCTTATAGCATTATTATCTTGTAACCTTACTGTCCTAGAAATTGTACACAGCATAAGTGATCAGCAATACAAGATCTTCAAAAGATAGTATCATGAGTATAGAGAGGAATATTTTTATTTTTTTTCCCTCATTTTTGTTGAGCGAGCGATTAACAGCAAAAGCAGGCGAGACATCCTTACAAATTTTTTAACCTAAGAAACCCCTTCCCAATATATCCCTGTATTCTGTATTGCCTTGTTAGTTGTCTTACTTGAATCAGTGGTACTCGTAGATTTTGTTGTTGAAGTTGGTTATATCTTTGGTAAGTACTATAGGTAATAAAATCTCCTTCATTTTCAAGCTCTAAAACCAGGAGTAGCTGCCTCTTAAACTCTATGTCAGGCATTTCCTCATAAAAACCCTCCTTTAACCAAAATCCTGAAAATATACATGAAAATAAGCTAAAAGGTCAACAATGTCCATATGATATGGACTAGGAGTCTTGTATTATTCATAATTAATTGGCACATCAATTTAGTGAGAAAAGTAGAAGTATAAAACAGAAGTTGGTGCATAGTTATCCTTATACATGTTATAAGGCCTACATGCATAACATATATTATTAAACAACTGTAAATTTTCTGTTTTCTCATTGGCTAAAAGCATAGGAAATCCTCTTTGATAAAACATTATAGTCACCGTGGCCAAAATCATGAGAGGTTAATACAATATTTGGAACAGCTTCGTGTTGAAGGCCTCACTGTGACTTTGAGATGAAGATCGGCAATGAAAGTGGTGTTCCTTTGCTTTTTGTGTGCTTTTTTACTGTGCATGTACTGATTTTGTGTCATGACTCATGGAAGGATACCTCATATCCTTTGTTTTTCTATTAATGTACTTCTTACTGCAAACTGATTTTAGGTAAATATCAAAATCATAAGACAAGTTTTAAGCAACTTCAAAATATGAACAGTTTAACATTAAGGTTCATGTGGACCCTTTGGCTAAAATGGCTGCATTTTCACCTCAAAATTTACTCTGAGTACTGTGCATCTGGAAAAGTTTTCAAAACATAGCATGCCCTAGATTAATAAAATTCAAATGCATTGTATGGTTTAGAAAATTTAAAACTTAAATCATATGTCCAACAGCTAAGAGCTAGCCTATTTCATTATCATGATAATGTCAAAAATATGATATTTTCCCCCATGAAAGCCCTCAAAGGTGATGTAAATTTTCTACAAATTGAAAGTGTTTGTTCAAGCCACGTGACAATTTCCGTTCAAATGTTAGTCACAATATTTTTTTTTTGTCAATATACACGAAACCATATTTCTTTGTCAACGTGCTTCAACTTGATATATATATGATACCGGTGAAAAATTCTGGGTTTTTTTTTATTTTCCTTGCATCCCACTTACCATAACTCCTATAAACAACGAACAGTGGCGGAATAACTGTAACAAACAACACCACAATTAATATTATAGATGCCTTTGAACAGATGTGAGTTTTGTAACGTCGAAGTTCTGGATGAGAAAATACTTCGTACACAGCCATTTTCAAACAAAACAGGAACGAAGTGAATGATTGCTTATAACATAAATAAATAAAGAAAACAAACAATATGAGTTATTTTTCGGTTATTCGTCACGATTGATTCGAATTAATTTTGTAACATGAGAAAATTGGTGAATTTGTATTTAAAAAATGTTTTATAGACAGTTACGCCCCTTTATCCTCTTAGCTGCGAAAAAAGAAAAGCATTACGTGAACCTATTTTCTATTTTCTTCCACCTTTTGGACCTGGGACATAATATATTAGTATAGTAAATAGTCCCAGTTTTAACATAGGACATTTGAAACCAATTAAAATTTGTGACAACAAATATCTATATTTTGCAACAACAAGCAAAAATGAATCATATTTTAATATAATCAAGAAATGTTGACAACATAAGAGCCTCTTTCAGTAAGTAACGACAGAAACATGTCTTCTTCTTTAGTTTGTATACCCCAAAGTAGATAAATGTTCTTGAGTACAAATGTATAGTCACATTCGGGGATAATTTATCAATTAGTATTTACACAAAAATTAACGATATTTAAAATTTGGGCCTAAGAAATTAAGTACACCCTTGACTGATGTCTCTGAGTTTATAATCAATGTTCTTCCACAATGCAGGGAGAAGAACAGTTTTCTTGAGCAGTCCTCTATTTTAGTGAGAATATTGTCGCTGCATGATAATATATTCTGTTTTATCAAAACACTTGGGTCCAAAATCAATTGGGTTAATAGACAAATATCTCCGGCTAGCCTCTTCCATAAACACGTATTTGGATTACTTATGATGTTTATAGTTGATTTTAATTCCTCTATATATGTCTTTCTGTATTTAAATAGAGCGTTGCATTTCAAAATAAAATGTTTAATTTCTTCATCTCCATATTTGCAAAGTGGTCAGACAGCTTTGACTTCGTGTTGATTGAATTAACTTCTGTTGAACTGGAGTAAAGCATAATTATGTGCCTATGATTAGACGAGTTTTTATACCACCACGGTGGACATCTTTAATATTACTTTCAATTGAGGATCACAATTTGTGAATAGTTCCAATCTTCAAACTTGACAGATCGCAGTATGACAGGGTAGATTTATTTTGACAGTCAAATGATAATTTACGTGTCCAAAATTTGTCAATTGTTAATTTCACATTCTTTTTCCACGACAACTTACACGGCGTGTTTTTAAAAAAAATATTTTTCATCATTTCTGCAATACTAGGAAGCTCATATTGCACTAGAAGCTTATCTACATAGGTACACAAACTGTCAGAAATTTCTGATTTTGTTGACATCTGTCTATGTAGTGATTTTAAATTAAGTTTTCACTTCTAATGATACCGCCTGAAAGGTTCAGTTGTCTAATATGGAGCTCGGCTGTGGCTGGTCTGACACCAAGAAGTAGATAAGTAATACCTTTAACTGATCTATTAGGTAAACACTGAATTTTTCAAAGAAAATCAAGATAAAATTTTTCTAGAGCATCAAAGTGATATTGCTTTACATACCCAACTATATCAGTCCTATTCCGGACCGATAACTCTGTCGATAAATATTGGCGGGTATACAATGTTGAAATGTACGCAATGACATATTTTTGTACACAAGTTAAGATTTCAATATTGATTTTTGTTAATGCCTGGATTTGCTTAAAACATTTTTATTTTTTAACGATAACAAATATTTGTATTCAATCTTTTCCTGATATATAAATACCTAAGTAGCCCAGGTCGCATACTTAGGGACCCCTGTATTTTCAACAGCCTCACTTGACCAGGGAAAAAATCAAATAGTTTTACATACATATATTTAGATACCCAATACAATTGATTTTACCTGATAAGCACACGTGGTAAGTAATAATGTAGTTAGAAGCATGATATATGTGGTAATTTACTTATATACATAATATGCACAGACATAGATTCAAATATCGATTACAGTAAAAATATTAGTTTTCTTCTGTAAAAATAACACATTGTTCACTAAGTTCTTCCTAAGATACAATAAGATTATTATATATGGAATCGAACACACCTTTAGTTTAAAACCGTAAAACTAAGTACATCTTCTTATATTTTTTCGATAAAGAGTTCAACTTTTGCTCTACATATATACTGAGATTTAGCCAAATTTTTTCCCAATTTATATACTCGCTATACAAATTTTCCCATTTTGTTTGACAAGTTTTCAGAAATTTTGATTTTGTGGCTCTTTAAAGTGCGTTGAAAATATGTGTTTTTTTTTTTTAAATCTGCATGAATGTTTGTGGTATGGAACTTTTAATTCGCGAGTATTCCGAAATACAATTACCTTTATCTATTAGTTGTTGATATATTTCATTGCACGATTTAAAATCTTTGGTGTATTATCGTTCCATATATCACCAATAGTTTTTATTCGACTTTTTGAAAAAGAAGAATAAAATAAAGATCTGCCCTGAAATAAAATATTTGAGTTTCCAAATAATCTCTGTTTCTTTACATCCATTTCGTTAAACATTACCCTGTGTGATCCCTGTCAACTTTGACCACGATTGTAAAGCGCTTTTGTAATAATGTGGTAGGGTTTTGATATCAAGACCTGAAAGGTCAGAACATCTGCACAGAAAAAGTTTATCGGCAAAATTCTTATCAAATTTTTTAACCAAAATTTACCTATTGCATTCCAACTATAGATAATGGCTTGTGTAATACCGAATATAACGATTTGATATATCTAATTTCTATCCAACTATCCAAATTTACCATCCACATGCCCCCCTTTTAAGATCTAAACAGCAAACCTTACGGTCTACTTGATTCCCCCTACCATCCCAAATAAAATCCCATATTATCTTATTCAAATCTTTTTTGTAATTTTTCAGGTATACCTCTTATTTCTTACTCATAACCACACACTGAAATAATTAAAATTTAAACAATAAGGACTTTTCCAGAGTATGTCAATTTTCTACTTTTCCAGACGTGCACACAATTTTGTACCTTTTCTAATATTGATTTCCAAATTTTGTCATTATCAATGTTATAAGCATGGTGTTTTTATGTTATCTGTTGTCCAGCTTATCTTTTTAAAAGTAGGCCGTCTGCGTTTATTTGCGCCAATATTTATTCCCTTAGTCTTTTCGTAATTAATTTTAGAACCCGGTGCCTGTTATAATATTTGTCTAATTAAATTCCTTCATAACGAAGTCTAGCCATCCCCATTCCATCCTATCAAAGACTTTTTGTTGGTCTAAAAAGACATCATCATCATCAATATATTCTATGATATATATCCTGTATCATTCTATTCGCTTCAGTTATATGTCTGCCTTTTACAAACCCTTTTTGGTCGGGGTGAATAAGTTTTGGGAGGAATATTTTCAATCTTTCTGCTAGTATTTTTGCTATAATTTTGTAATCGCAATTCAGTAGTGTAAGAGGGCGCCAATTTCGTATATTTTCTCGTTCCCCGCCCTTAAATAGTAATGTTATAACTCCCTTATATTGTGAGTCCGACACTGTTTTTTTTATTAAATATTTCTCGCAATAACGTACAAAATTCTTCTTGTATGATATTCCAAAACAATAAATAGAATTCTGAAATGATCCCGTCCTCCCCTGGGGATTTATTTGTTTTTATTATTTTTAAAACTTTCATTATTTCCGCCGCGGTAATATCACGGTCAAGTATTTTTTTGTCGTCGTCATTTAGTTTGCTTTCGATGTGGCTTGTTAAATCTTGAGCACTTTCTAAATGCCATCCCTCGGAGCTAAATAAATTTGAGTAAAATTTTTTAACCAAAATTTACCTATTGCATTCCAACTATAGATAATGGCTTGTGTAATACCGAATATAACGATTTGATATATCTAATTTCTATCCAACTATCCAAATTTACCATCCACATGCCCCCCCTTTTAAGATCTAAACAGCAAACCTTAGGTCTACTTGATTCCCCCTACCATCCCAAATAAAATCCCATATTATCTTATTCAAATCTTTTTTGTAATTTTTCAGGTATACCTCTTATTTCTTACTCATAACCACACACTGAAATAATTAAAATTTAAACAATAAGGACTTTTCCAGAGTATGTCAATTTTCTACTTTTCCAGACGTGCACACAATTTTGTACCTTTTCTAATATTGATTTCCAAATTTTGTCATTATCAATGTTATAAGCATGGTGAATACCTAGTGTTTTTATGTTATCTGTTGTCCAGCTTATCTTTTTAAAAGTAGGCCGTCTGCGTTTATTTGCGCCAATATTTATTCCCTTAGTCTTTTCGTAATTAATTTTAGAACCCGGTGCCTGTTATAATATTTGTCTAATTAAATTCCTTCATAACGAAGTCTAGCCATCCCCATTCCATCCTATCAAAGACTTTTTGTTGGTCTAAAAAGACATCATCATCAATATATTCTATGATATATATCCTGTATCATTCTATTCGCTTCAGTTATATGTCTGCCTTTTACAAACCCTTTTTGGTCGGGGTGAATAAGTTTTGGGAGGAATATTTTTAATCTTTCTGCTAGTATTTTTGCTATAATTTTGTAATCGCAATTCAGTAGTGTAAGAGGGCGCCAATTTCGTATATTTTCTCGTTCCCCGCCCTTAAATAGTAATGTTATAACTCCCTTATATTGTGAGTCCGACACTGTTTTTTTTATTAAATATTTCTCGCAATAACGTACAAAATTCTTCTTGTATGATATTCCAAAACAATAAATAGAATTCTGAAATGATCCCGTCCTCCCCTGGGGATTTATTTGTTTTTATTATTTTTAAAACTTTCATTATTTCCGCCGCGGTAATATCACGGTCAAGTATTTTTTTGTCGTCGTCATTTAGTTTGCTTTCGATGTGGCTTGTTAAATCTTGAGCACTTTCTAAATGCCATCCCTCGGAGCTAAATAAATTTGAGTAAAATTTTTTAACCAAAATTTACCTATTGCATTCCAACTATAGATAATGGCTTGTGTAATACCGAATATAACGATTTGATATATCTAATT